ACATATCCATTCGCCTCAAGTTTGAGTATCATTGTGAATGCATCAGGCGAATCTTGAAGTTTTCTTTACAGATAAGAGATCAGATAAGGAAAAACTTTTCGACGGTGCATCCAGCGATGCCCATCCCAAAACAAGAACAGTGGATGAAATAAAGGCGAAATACAGAAAAGCAGGGGTGAGTCAAAACCTATTCGATCTACCCAAAACAGCTGTTTTTGTTTCTATCTCTAACATGGTTGTGTAATTTTTCCAGGAAACCTCAGCAATAGCTTCACAAGCAAAGGACAAACTTCTTGAGCGTGGAGAAAAACTCGAGGTCGTATTTTCCACCTTCACTTAATCTGACTTGTATCCAAGCTATGTAATGTAACACACTGATCCTAACTACAAAACACTATTTTATTTGGTGTGATAATATTACCAGAGAATCAGCCAACGAACAGCCGAGCTACAAGACGGGGCTGAGAACTTTGCATCCATGGCACATGAACTTGCTAAGCAAATGGAGAAGCGAAAATGGTGGAACATTTGAGAAAAGCTGCAACACTTATACTTTCATGTGAAGTCATTGTGACAATCTCAGATTCTTCCGTATATATAAATTAATTCCACAGGTGATAACTTATGTCTCATTGCTTTTGATAGCAATCAAAGCTGCAAAATAGATTGGCCTAACTGAGCAACATTTTAACTTGAGTAATTGTTGTGAGCTGATTTGATATTGTTTTTGATATTCTGTGATTGTCTTTGAAAAAAATTAAAAGTAAAAATAATAATTCTGTTTCATTGCTTTATGAAATTTGGAAGAAGAAACATGACATGAATATAGGAAATAATATTATATTACTAGATTCAATTGGCCCATTTCTTCTTTTAGGGTTTTCGTATGCTCTTCTTTGCATTATACGAAAAGAAAAAAAAGGGGTTTTAAAGCTTTAAAAAAAAAAAACCCTTGTTTGCAAATTAAAACAATGAAGACGATGATCTCCTATCTTGCAATGGAATTGACAGAAGAGATTCTCTCTAGAGTTCCCTTGAAATCTACGAAAACAGTTCGATCAACTTGCAAAAAATGGAACGTTTTATTCAAAAGTGAGAACTTTACAAAGATGCATATTGCTAAATCAGCAGCAGAAACAAGAGAAGGTGAGTCTACGATGATCGCGATAATGAATTACAAACTTTCTTTAATGAGCGTCGTCGTCGACCACGTTGATCCATCCATAGAGTTTGAATGTCACGTCCCTATCCCAAATTTTCTGATTAAACCCTAACTTTTTCTTAAAGGAACCCGTAATGGATTTAATGTTGAGCTAATTAGAAAGGATTTAATTGATCCAATGAGTGGAATCGTGTCGGATTGGACCGGGTAATTAGTATATCATACTTAGCCCATAAGCCCAAAGGTTTAGTCAACCTTTATAAACTATTCTAACCTAGCCGACTCTGGTTTTTGCGAAGAGAGGAATAAAAGATCAGAACGTAAAAGAAAGGAGAAAAGAAAGAGAAAAGGAAAGTGTTGTGAAGATGACGAACGGAGACGAGCCGTGGAGGTGGAGGTGAGATCCGGCTGGACCAATTTTAATCATACATCAATTAAGGCTTCATGTATGGGTCATACAATTGATAAGATTAAATTGGTTTTAATGTGAATAAAAAATGAGTCATTAGGCTCATGGTGAAATCTTAAGTAAAAAGGTTTAAAACCTTATAATTACATTATAATATAATTGAGATCAAATAAGTCTTACCAAATAATTTAGAATTAAGATATATGGATTTGGATTTGGTAAATGGATCATAAATCTAATGGACCAACTTCATCAAAAAAAAATTCATCAAAGTTTTGTGATTAACTATGTTTAATACAAAACAAAATATCTTACTAATTTCAAATACAAGAAACGAGAAAATCAAGTGGTCATATAGCATTATTTTTGACATTCATTGTCAAGATCATGCACTAATGATTTTCTTTACGTTAGCATCAAAAATTGTCATCACTCCATGATTGACTTTAATTGTCAAGATATGCTAAAACGTTTCTTTTCAAACTTGGCTAAGAATGCCAAATAATAACCTTAAATACGTCTGTTCACGAGTCTTTCAAATCAAGTTTGAATTAACAAATCAAAACGTCTCCTTGATTATTGCTTTGGGAAAAGCCTATAAAAGGGCACTTCCTCTCTTCTCCAAAACACACTCTTACATACATTCACTTTACAA